CGGTTAATGGTCGTAACCGTTCTGCCGCGTGAGGGATGAAACGTCGGTAGAAGTTAACCAAACCGAGAAAAGCCTTCAGTTCCTTGATTGAGGACGGCACGTTGTACTCCTTGATTGCTCGAACTTTGTCCTCGCAAGGCAGAATACCCTCTTGTCTGATGATGTGACCCAGAAATATTATTTCTGATTTACCCAACTCACATTTCTCTGGGTTGACTACTATTCCATTATCCGAAAGACGTTGGAATAATAGCGTAAGGTGTTGATAATGTTCATCTACGTTTGATGATGCGATCAGCAGGTCATCAATATAGACGTGAACAAAATCCAAGTCTCGTACTATGCTATCGATAAACCTTTGAAAAGTTTGAGCAGCATTCCGTAATCCAAATGGCATTCGTAGGAACTCAAACAGACCGAAAGGAGTCGTGATAGCAGTTTTTTCGATGTCTTCAAGAGCGACATGGGATCTGGTGATATGCTCGTACCAGATCGATTTTAGAAAAGATAGTCGTGCCCTTGAGCGATGCCGTGATGTCGTGTATGTGGGGGATGGGGTAGCTATCAAAGCGCGTAACTACGTTTAATGCTCGGTAGTCGCCGCAAGGTCTCCAACTAACCCCATCCTTTTTGCGCACCATGTGTAAAGGAGAGGCCCAAGGACTGTGAGAAGGACGAATAATACCAGTAGATAGTAAATTGTCAAACTCACGTTTAGCGAAAGCTAATTTGTCCGGTGCCAGTCGGCGTGGTCTTGCCGTGACTGGTGGTCCGCGGGTGACTATGTGGTGTACCACACGATTGGTCACCGATGAAATCTCCTCGAATGGTTTAGTTAATCTGGAAAATTTCTCGAATAAGGCGTGGAATTTATCGTCACGCGAATAAAAAGTGCCGAGGATTCGGTACGCATACATCGGAGTCTATTATATTAATACTATTCTTATCGTTATCCGTCATGTCAAATATATTATATATTAAAAATTAATATGAAAATATATGACAGACGTGGATAGATAAAACAACAGACTCACCGAATTGCCTTCTTTGAAAGATTTGACCGAGGTTGAGGCGTGTTCCAATATTTGGGTCACCAAATGTAGCGTGGTGTCGAGTTGAGCTGAACTATGAACACCGCTACCAGACTACTTGCCAATAGACCAATAAAATTCCGATAGGCCAAAATATCAGAAGGCAGATGATTGTAGTAGTCGTATATATTTGTTGGCGATCTCGTGGTATCGAAAGAATACCGAGATCGTGCCAAAGGAGTACAAGCGTGGTTACTGAGCGTAACCGGATTCGTACAAGTTCGAAGTCAACGGGAGAGTAAGTATAATGGCTGTCATTAGCACAGTTAAACAAACGAGCACAGTAAAACAATCACTGGTACAATTGGTTATAATAATAATTGTTTTCATCGAACCAATCGTGTTCTGTTGACAAAAGTAGGTCACTACACAATTACCAAAATATGCGAAATATCGTCGGTTTTATACTATGTATATCGGTTAGGGAGGAAAAGAAAATTATAAAGAGTATGATGTTCGAATAAATCTGTGTCAACCACCTTACATGTTTACTACCAACAGTTTAGCCTTGCGACAAAACTTATACGGCCCGCTATTTTTGAAGCTGTTCAATTTAGGCTTAATAACAGACTATACACAAAAAATTTGTTGTCCCTCAACTACAGGAAATATTTTGTTATAACACGCCAAAGAAGATGGTTTAAGTAGTTTCACGTAATAAATTACATAAGATTTGTGACAATTTGATCTTGCCAGCAAGTTTTCATGCCTCGTGTAACTTAAGCATAAATTCTTGTCATGATTTTTATAAATTGTCCCTGTTCGTATTGAATTAATTGACAAATGGATGGTTCGAGTACTCGCAGATCTTTATCAATGTTTTGTCCATTGCAAGTAAGTGTAGCATTTACTTTCAATTCTCACAGGGTTCCATCCATTTAGCAAAAAGTTTAGCTTTGTTTTTTGTCTTCGATCATATAGTACGTTTGCTATCCAAATTTATGCCATTCCGAAAGTCCTTAAGTTAAAATATGTCTGTACAATACCTGTACGAGACATATCCTATAATGGTCATTACCAAACAGTTATTGGTCTGTAGACAGTGCACTATGTGCTTTTATATGATCGTTCCGATTATTCATTAGGGATCTTACTAACTGTGAAACCAACAATGGGCTATGCTGTTTAAATCATACTGATGCGAGTTAGTGTTTAGATCTATCACAAGCTAGTGTGAAAGAAACATTTACAGGGTATGAATTATAATTGCAAATCTCAAAACTGTGGATTAATTATAATACGTGATCGGTAACAAACTAGATAGACTGAACCAGATCATCGCAAAGATAATGGATTGCGAATTGTAATTAAAACATGTAAACGACTGGACTTAACAAAATGACAGACCATTAGTGTAACAAAAATCTCTCCGTGGGACGAGTACTATTCAGAGCATGAGACGTGCTAAGCTTCCTTGTGAGCGATTCACTGATAGTTTACCCATTTATTGAAATCAATGGACAGGGCAAGTATTAGTAGTTCAGCAAATTACTAGGTTTTAGGTTACTTCTCCATCAGAAGTCTTCTTTTATGACAAATACAGATATGCTTAACCCAAATGTCTTATTTGTTCACAGTCTGTCGATTAATACTGAATTCTAAACAAACTAACAAGTCACACGTGTCCCTAACAAGAAAAACTAATCAATGGATATTGAATACTTTGTTAAAATTCATTAATTACGGAAGTAATGGTCAGTAGGTGTAATTAAACTAGAGCATCGGTCGCTTATTATGCACGTCATGGTGTGTGGACAAATTACTAACCTGATAAAATCCTATCCGTACTTTATGTTGGCTATGGAAAGGCTCAGATAAAGGTGATGGGAATAATGCACAGCTTGACTTCGACTCAGGATTTCGCAAGCTAAGTAGCGGTGTCATTCTTGTTAATTTCTAGTGAATGGCGACAACTGATCGAACATAGATACCTGAATATATAGCTGCAGTGGCTTTACATGCATTAGAAACAATCAAACGTGTCGTGACTACCGCTTCGGAGGCGGTGGTAAGACACGATATTTTAAAGAGTTGATGACCAGTTCACATATACTGTCGTAACAACACCCGGATAGGAACGCGGAGTTACCCCTGTGAGTTTATTTGCAATATCAATAGTTAGTCCTATTTCAGATCATTGTTTTACAGTGCTAAACACGCCCTTCTTAAGTGTAATAGACCCACCATTCAACTTTACAGGTGATCTGATTTTATACAGGTAATTATGGTTTAGTTATGAGTTGTAGAGATCGGAATTACAGTTTGAGTGGAGCCACGTTTATAAATACGAAATGTGAGGGCCACCTAGCCCTGAATAAGGACGGCGTGAATGAAGAGTGCTCTGACCAACACGTCTGAATAAAATGGAGACTGAACTGAGAGTTACAGTATATAGTTGGTATTAAAACACCTATATCCTAAGAACAAAATGTTGTGGTGTCGACTGACCTGACTGCAGTTCAGATAAACGCGTGAATATGATACGAATATACACCTCTTATTTAACCCCGTATAATACCTAGGTTAACTCTTTTCGTATGATGGTGGTAAGAAGCTTAATACGGATGTTGTTGGAGGAATTTATTCCAGGCATTCATTTAATCAGATTCAAAGTGAGAAAGAGGAGCGCAGTGTAGGTGAGTGAGTCAACTAGATCTAGCCAAGCGTGTGTCCATTAGTATAGTCTAACAAAACAAGCCAAACATAATATGATTGGGATAAGCGATATACACACATATGCTTACATAAAAAGCCAAGGTTGATGAGAGAATAATTTACCAAGTCAAAATGTAACTCAAAAAGAATGATTAAATACATCTGTCTGGGAGCTAGAACCCATATGGGCTTGACGAGGTAATAGACACTACGATGTAGGGGTTGGTCAGACATTTTGCTTAGTAAAAAGAGTCACTAACAGGTTACGTCGAAGTAGTCTGAACTTAGCCGGAGAACAATGCCTACATACTTGACGTCAACACATCTCAAGACTCTTATGGATTACGATTTTCTTGCGGTGCATCGAGTACATGACGAATCTGACCACGTAGAAAGAAGATATGACAAGTGTACAACTAGGTTGTACGGTTTGTCACTTAATATCAGTCACGCGCTACATCCTAACCAGGTAACCAACGTAGTGTCCAGGTACTGGCCAAGTGGGTTTATTAACTTTGTTTGGCCAAGTTCGGAATTTACTTGCCATTGAAGGTGACTTCAGTAGGTATAGTATCCGGCTAGTGATTAGTTGAAGTCAAAAATTAGTGAACATGCAGAAGATATTTGACTTCAGATACTGTTTTTACTAAGATTCTCTTCAGGCTTCAATATACGATTACACCTATATCCATATACGAGATCATTAAGTCAATTAAGACATTTTATGGGTCAGTGGAATATAATAAATAAAAATGAGTAAAAGAAGTGGAAATTGATAGTGTGATGACAGGTGTACTAATCTAGAACAATGTTGTTAATTCGTAGAGTGAGGATTTCTCAAATTTTATGAACTACTTATGGGCATGGTCACACTTAGAATTTTTCGAAAGCACTGGAAGATGGTACAGATCAAATGGGATCAGATAAACCCAAACAATCCCAATTAAGTAAAAAGAAAAGACAACCTACTCTCAAACATAATAAATGCATAAAAACGAAGACGAGCGTAATTTAGAAATGTAGATTTGATGCTGCATTAAAAAGAATATCGTTAATGCATCGAAAAAATGTGACAAGATGATAGTGTTTGACGAAGAAGCAAGTGAAATGAAAACACTTAATAAACGGGACGAGCAAAATAAGACCGGTTATTGTCTTACATAGCATTGGTAAAAGCGAGAACGAAATTTGTTCTCCAAATAACCAATTTAATGTATTTTACAACTAATGTATAACATTTAACGAGAAGCTATCCTACGACGATTCCGTATGTGTATCCCCAACACACTCTGTATTTGATGTAGGGTCTTTAGGAGGTTCATCTTCCTTGACTGACTTTCGTTCTTCTTCCTCTTCTTCTTCATCGTCATTTTCCTCCTCATCTTCGTCTTCACCGTCTCCACGAGCATCTGTTGCTGACTCTTCTTTTGTAGAATCTTCTAACAGTTTAGCTTTGGCAGTTTCTAAAGCATGTTCTCTCTTCATATCAATTACATGGCTGGGGAGTCCAAATAAAGTTAGAATAGTCTGAAAAAGAAGACAGTATGTTATCAACCGTTGGAAGTATTGTATAAGCCATAATTTTGAAGCCAATGAGAAAATGCGATCGCAGAAAATAGTTAATGAAAAGTTCACTGACTGAATAATGAAGCAATCTTTACACAAACCTATATATAGGTTATACGGAATGAACACAAATGCGAGAAATGTGAGTTCCCCTATACACAATCGAGATGTTTTGTAGATTGTATGTTTACTTGTTATTCACGGAAAACAAGTGTCGTCTATTGAATGTAGAGACATCGAATTTTTTATTTGATCAATGCTGCAACCACTACTAATTTTATGGTCATCTTGATATTTTTATCGCATTGGGCTGATGTGATGTCCCAATTTCGGCAAATTGAATAGTTGTACAAGACTTATGTTTAATTTAAAAGTAAATGTTACCAGAATTACATATGTTTAGATATTGATTGTTTAAAATAGCTAGAATAGCGTTTTAACAATCAACCCTCATGAATTCAAGATATGAATTCTTTAGTGATTAATAACTACTGTTCTTGGCTAGAATTCCCAAATGTTCGATTGAAATAAAATCCTGAAGTCACATAACATTTAGAAGTGTAACAAATAGAAGAAAATGATAATGACACGAAAAATACGGGTCGTAAGCTGAAGAACTCAAATAGGTTTAAAAACAATTCATGAACTAATTCTTAATTGTCTAGCTATTTCAATGAACCAATACAAGGAAATATAATGGGTCTAAAAAAGAAGCTTGAAAATTTAGCGGATTAAAATGCACTTTTAACGAATCACAACGATTCTGTAACGTTATCTTACGAAATCAGAGTTGACTCCATGTGAAATATAGTATTCCTTTTTTATAAAGAACATTAATGTTTAAACAAACAACTAAGTAACTAAACAAACTTTAATTACTTAAACTTGAAAGTGCTTGAGATCAAGTCATATGATATTTATTTATTGATGACCTCTCTAAAGATAAATATATCCTTTCATTAATAAAAACTGCATAATGTGCTCATAATCTTTGTCACGAAAAATCGTGCAATCTGTAATAAGGTATGTAGTCATATACTCAAAAACAAGTTCCAACGAAATGAAAAAACCGATACTAACGTGCATGTATATATATATATATATATATATATATATATATATATACATGCACGTTAGTATCGGTTTTTTCATTTAGTTGGAACTTGTTTTTGAGTATATGACTACATACCTTATTACAGATTGCACGATTTTTCGTGACAAAGATTATGAGCACATTATGCAGTTTTTATTAATGAAAGGATATATTTATCTTTAGAGAGGTCATCAATAAATAAATATCATATGACTTGATCTCAAGCACTTCCAAGTTTAAGTAATTAAAGTTTGTTTAGTTACTTAGTTGTTTGTTTAAACATTAATGTTCTTTATAAAAAAGGAATACTATATTTCACATGGAGTCAACTCTGATTTCGTAAGATAACGTTACAGAATCGTTGTGATTCGTTAAAAGTGCATTTTAATCCGCTAAATTTTCAAGCTTCTTTTTTAGACCCATTATATTTCCTTGTATTGGTTCATTGAAATAGCTAGACAATTAAGAATTAGTTCATGAATTGTTTTTAAACCTATTTGAGTTCTTCAGCTTACGACCCGTATTTTTCGTGTCATTATCATTTTCTTCTATTTGTTACACTTCTAAATGTTATGTGACTTCAGGATTTTATTTCAATCGAACATTTGGGAATTCTAGCCAAGAACAGTAGTTATTAATCACTAAAGAATCATATCTTGAATTCATGAGGGTTGATTGTTAAAACGCTATTCTAGCTATTTTAAACAATCAATATCTAAACATATGTAATTCTGGTAACATTTACTTTTAAATTAAACATAAGTCTTGTACAACTATTCAATTTGCCGAAATTGGGACATCACATCAGCCCAATGCGATAAAAATATCAAGATGACCATAAAATTAGTAGTGGTTGCAGCATTGATCAAATAAAAAATTCGATGTCTCTACATTCAATAGACGACACTTGTTTTCCGTGAATAACAAGTAAACATACTATCTACAAAACATCTCGATTGTGTATAGGGGAACTCACATTTCTCGCATTTGTGTTCATTCCGTATAACCTATATATAGGTTTGTGTAAAGATTGCTTCATTATTCAGTCAGTGAACTTTTCATTTACTATTTTCTGCGATCGCATTTTCTCATTGGCTTCAAAATTATGGCTTATACAATACTTCCAACGGTTGATAACATACTGTCTTCTTTTTCAGACTATTCTAACTTTATTTGGACTCCCCAGCCATGTAATTGATATGAAGAGAGAACATGCTTTAGAAACTGCCAAAGCTAAACTGTTAGAAGATTCTACAAAAGAAGAGTCAGCAACAGATGCTCGTGGAGACGGTGAAGACGAAGATGAGGAGGAAAATGACGATGAAGAAGAAGAGGAAGAAGAACGAAAGTCAGTCAAGGAAGATGAACCTCCTAAAGACCCTACATCAAATACAGAGTGTGTTGGGGATACACATACGGAATCGTCGTAGGATAGCTTCTCGTTAAATGTTATACATTAGTTGTAAAATACATTAAATTGGTTATTTGGAGAACAAATTTCGTTCTCGCTTTTACCAATGCTATGTAAGACAATAACCGGTCTTATTTTGCTCGTCCCGTTTATTAAGTGTTTTCATTTCACTTGCTTCTTCGTCAAACACTATCATCTTGTCACATTTTTTCGATGCATTAACGATATTCTTTTTAATGCAGCATCAAATCTACATTTCTAAATTACGCTCGTCTTCGTTTTTATGCATTTATTATGTTTGAGAGTAGGTTGTCTTTTCTTTTTACTTAATTGGGATTGTTTGGGTTTATCTGATCCCATTTGATCTGTACCATCTTCCAGTGCTTTCGAAAAATTCTAAGTGTGACCATGCCCATAAGTAGTTCATAAAATTTGAGAAATCCTCACTCTACGAATTAACAACATTGTTCTAGATTAGTACACCTGTCATCACACTATCAATTTCCACTTCTTTTACTCATTTTTATTTATTATATTCCACTGACCCATAAAATGTCTTAATTGACTTAATGATCTCGTATATGGATATAGGTGTAATCGTATATTGAAGCCTGAAGAGAATCTTAGTAAAAACAGTATCTGAAGTCAAATATCTTCTGCATGTTCACTAATTTTTGACTTCAACTAATCACTAGCCGGATACTATACCTACTGAAGTCACCTTCAATGGCAAGTAAATTCCGAACTTGGCCAAACAAAGTTAATAAACCCACTTGGCCAGTACCTGGACACTACGTTGGTTACCTGGTTAGGATGTAGCGCGTGACTGATATTAAGTGACAAACCGTACAACCTAGTTGTACACTTGTCATATCTTCTTTCTACGTGGTCAGATTCGTCATGTACTCGATGCACCGCAAGAAAATCGTAATCCATAAGAGTCTTGAGATGTGTTGACGTCAAGTATGTAGGCATTGTTCTCCGGCTAAGTTCAGACTACTTCGACGTAACCTGTTAGTGACTCTTTTTTACTAAGCAAAATGTCTGACCAACCCCTACATCGTAGTGTCTATTACCTCGTCAAGCCCATATGGGTTCTAGCTCCCAGACAGATGTATTTAATCATTCTTTTTGAGTTACATTTTGACTTGGTAAATTATTCTCTCATCAACCTTGGCTTTTTATGTAAGCATATGTGTGTATATCGCTTATCCCAATCATATTATGTTTGGCTTGTTTTGTTAGACTATACTAATGGACACACGCTTGGCTAGATCTAGTTGACTCACTCACCTACACTGCGCTCCTCTTTCTCACTTTGAATCTGATTAAATGAATGCCTGGAATAAATTCCTCCAACAACATCCGTATTAAGCTTCTTACCACCATCATACGAAAAGAGTTAACCTAGGTATTATACGGGGTTAAATAAGAGGTGTATATTCGTATCATATTCACGCGTTTATCTGAACTGCAGTCAGGTCAGTCGACACCACAACATTTTGTTCTTAGGATATAGGTGTTTTAATACCAACTATATACTGTAACTCTCAGTTCAGTCTCCATTTTATTCAGACGTGTTGGTCAGAGCACTCTTCATTCACGCCGTCCTTATTCAGGGCTAGGTGGCCCTCACATTTCGTATTTATAAACGTGGCTCCACTCAAACTGTAATTCCGATCTCTACAACTCATAACTAAACCATAATTACCTGTATAAAATCAGATCACCTGTAAAGTTGAATGGTGGGTCTATTACACTTAAGAAGGGCGTGTTTAGCACTGTAAAACAATGATCTGAAATAGGACTAACTATTGATATTGCAAATAAACTCACAGGGGTAACTCCGCGTTCCTATCCGGGTGTTGTTACGACAGTATATGTGAACTGGTCATCAACTCTTTAAAATATCGTGTCTTACCACCGCCTCCGAAGCGGTAGTCACGACACGTTTGATTGTTTCTAATGCATGTAAAGCCACTGCAGCTATATATTCAGGTATCTATGTTCGATCAGTTGTCGCCATTCACTAGAAATTAACAAGAATGACACCGCTACTTAGCTTGCGAAATCCTGAGTCGAAGTCAAGCTGTGCATTATTCCCATCACCTTTATCTGAGCCTTTCCATAGCCAACATAAAGTACGGATAGGATTTTATCAGGTTAGTAATTTGTCCACACACCATGACGTGCATAATAAGCGACCGATGCTCTAGTTTAATTACACCTACTGACCATTACTTCCGTAATTAATGAATTTTAACAAAGTATTCAATATCCATTGATTAGTTTTTCTTGTTAGGGACACGTGTGACTTGTTAGTTTGTTTAGAATTCAGTATTAATCGACAGACTGTGAACAAATAAGACATTTGGGTTAAGCATATCTGTATTTGTCATAAAAGAAGACTTCTGATGGAGAAGTAACCTAAAACCTAGTAATTTGCTGAACTACTAA